CCCCCGCCGCTGCTCGGAAATGGCGGGTAAGTTGTAGCACGACCCCGGGCCCGCTCCGCCGTGGCCTGCTCTGCCACTCTCGCTGAGCAAGCGAGCGGCAGCGGGGCGTCCAGCCTGCCCCCCCCGCGCGGCCCTGCTCTGGCCCCGGTGCCGAGCTGCGCGGCTCACGCCCGCCTAAAGGGTGACGGAGGTTTGCCTGGGGAAGGCGCAGCTGGAGAGAAGGTCCCCTTTGGAACCGCCTCTCTCCTGACAGCTGCTCGGGCAGTGCTGCTCGCACGGAAACCCTGAGGCGGCCTCGGAGTCCGCCCTCGTGGCCCGAGTTCGTGCCCACCCTGGAGGGAGCTAGTTTCTTTCCCCTGACCCGATTAGCAGGGGTCGGAGTTCCCGATAGGACCTGGGTGGGTTTCTGAGGCAAACCTTGAAAACACTTTCACAGGGGTGGACTTGGGAAACGGACCCTAACTCTTCATTGGGCACTCTGTGTCGTGGCAACTCATCAAGTTTGTTTGGGTCTGGTGCAGGAGACCAGGTCTGCCTGATGCAGCTTGGTGCTACCATGACTTGAGCCCACCAGACACCTCGGGTACGTTCATAACTTGATCAGAATGTGTGGTAAAGGTGGTATCTTTTATGAGACCAACTAGATTTTTGCAAAAAAAAAATTATTTGACTTCTTTAATTTCTAGTTGGTCTCATAAAAGATATCACCTCTACTCTGAGTTCTGATTTATTTTGCCTCTAAACCAATACAGCTACAACCTGGATACCTTTATAACTTGATATCACAACTAAATTAAAGTGGTTTGGTCTTAGGATGCATCTGTGCTTATTAAAAGTTTATGGGTCTACACGGACTTTCCCCGGGTGTTCTGTCTGCTGAAGTGCTCTGGTTTCTGTTAACAGCCATTTGCAAATGAAAAGCAACTCATTTTGTGTGTTTTTCTTGATAACCTTGAAAGACAGCACAACTTTCTATCAAAGGTTTCTTGTTTCCCATAGAAATTAAATTACTTTTTAAACTAGGGCAGTGGTTCTCAACCTTTTTTGTACCAGGACACATTTGTCAACTCTGGATCCCCTACCCCCCTTTCAGTGTATAGGGCAGAGGGTGGGTATGTGGGGCAGGGGTGTCCCAAGTAGCCCTGTGCAGGCTGGAATTCTGTTATCCTGCAAGGGTGAAGCCACTGTTTCCCATGTTTTTTCTCCTTTAAAGGAGAATCCATGTTTGTTCACAACCCTTTCATATATTTTTGCAACCCACTTTTGAGTCTTGACCCACAGGTTGAGAAACACTACCCTTGAGGTGTTCGCAAAAGAACGGAAAACTAGTAGGGCTCGGATGTCACGAGTACTTGGCCAGTGAAAACTGACAGATTGAGAAGGAAAGGTTTTACATCTCTTGAATGGTTTCATTTACCTGTTGAGCAAGTGCCACATATTCCCCTTTTGAGCTCACAGTTGCTTCCTTTTTCTGTTTGCATGTTTTCACCATGCTTCCTCAGGAGTGAGCACCTCTTCTCATGTCTGATTAAGTTTAATGTCCAGGTAGATTTGCCATATTTGTTGGCTATATAATTTGAGTTGGAGAGAGAGAGAGGGTTATATCGGGTGCATCAGGAGCTTGGTGAACAACTGTTTGCTAGGGCACTCCTGCTTTTGAGACCAGGACCAATGGATACAAACTCCTGGAAGGCCGCTTCAGGAAAAACTCCTTCACAGTCTTCATGTCCAGACTGTGGAATAAACTCCCTCCAGAGGTGGTGCATTCACCTATCCTGAAGGTTTTCAAGAGGAGACTAGACAGTCACCTCGCTGGGGTTACCTAACCCCAGCTCTCTTCCTGCCTAAAGGGGGAGAGTTGGGTGGGTGTGGGGGCTGGACCTGATGATCTGCAAGGTCCCTTCTAGCCCCTAACAATCTATGAATAGTCTCCTTTGCCCTACAGCTAGATTAAACATGACATTAGTGTGATGTATAAATTTAAATTAGGAG